ATATTGAGCCAGGAGAAGGTTTCAGAACAATATGAAGTGTTTAGCTTGCAGTTCAATGTTATGAGGCAAATGTTACCTGGCGTCTTGATTTTCTCTGACGCCTCAGAAATCGTCTGACAGTTGCTGGACTGTTAGAACTGTTACGTTGTCTTATGATCAACGGCAACATGCTGAATACAGTGTGTTTAAACGACTTGCTAAAGTGGATTTTGAAAATATCTATAAAACGAAAATATATGGAGAACACATATGTGGATTTGAACAATCTGACTGTAAGAAATGTAAAAATCACAAATACAAAACAAAAAAGTTTGGACCATATAGCACATTTATACCCGTAGATTGACAGTAGAATGATACTGCTACTTTTAACTCAGGTTCACTTTACCGAAATCATGAACACTATACTAGTATTTCCTTAGCGGTTGACAAATCAGACATGGGTTGTTTACTTTAAATATTGACCTTTATACCGCATGTTTACCATCTTGTACTGTTATAGGTTAATAAATAAAAGGTTGTTATTCAAAACAGTTATATGCAAGGTTAATAAATGAATTTTTTTCTGATGGAACTAGGAAATATTTTTGCATCGGCATTACAGCAAAAGTTACCACAGGCAATCCTGTCAAAGGAACAATGAGGAAAGGTACATTTTGTACATAAAAACAGAGCACATAGAAAATTTATTTTTCCAAACTTCGTATCAACACATATTTATATTTTAATGTGCACTTTACAGAGATAATTAATACTGTTGTCTCTTTTGCATTGTATGAGATTTAAAAACTGTTTCACTTTCTTGACGCCCGTGGTCATTTCAAACGAATAAATTGAAATGTATTAAAGATATTTTCCTCACACTGAAGGTTTCGCAACGACTAGCACATATTAAACTGCAAACTGTTCAATCATATCAGATTTTATTTTCTTTCTATTTATGAATTAATTCATAGTAAACGCAAACAAACATATATTCTATAGATATTCTAACGCTTCACTGAGGCAAGGCATCGTATTTTAAAAGCCGCCATGTAAAATCGCAGTGTATAAGAACGCACACTGTTCTAAACATTTATGAATTCATTTCTTGTTTGAAACAAAACATCATTTTAAGTTTTTGACAACAACCATGTAAGTCGTAATAACAAAATGAAATCATCAGAAAGATCTTTACAATTTCTTGTTCCCTTTCTCTGAATCGTAAGGACAGTTTTCTGTGCGGCTATCGACCGTTGTAGTGGTACCGATCACAAACTGTATTTCTAAACACACATAAACTTAACTTTGTCGTTATTTATTTATATTAATTGATGTCGCTGATTGTTGTAATTGCGGTGGAGATCGATTGGCTATTGTTATATCGGGGCAGACACTGGTGCCCAATGACGGGTGTAAGATTAACGCGGTGTTAACCAGCTCACACCCGCTGAATTATTCATGGACTTACACAACATCTCAAATCAAAATTGTATCCATGACCCATAAGAAAACACGGTATCTGACACACACAGAATTAAACGCTGTAGCAGAGATCGTTTTCGTTAAAGAAATTCCAATAAAATTTGTTTATGTCTACCCTTGAGCTATTCCATGTCGAATGTCAAACACAGATGATAGCATGGTACCAAAACACACCAATACTCCCGCTACGGTTTCCCTTCGATTTCCAGAGTATTAGCATTGGATGTTTATTACCGCGTCATGAAAACATCCAGAGGTTTCGGAAGCTGGATTTATCGAGGTCAATAGGGCAAATCTCTGAACTTCATTCTTATAAAGATCTATCGTGTTTTCTTCCTGAGTGCGTACAAAGCTACGTCGAGCTGTTTATCTCCGGGTTTGATATGACAACGTAAACCATTGCCATACACGCTTGGAGTATTTCTTTACGTGGTTACCATGTGACAATCAGGACTTTGATTCTCACCATGGCATCAGGCCAAGGTTGTAAAGGCTCTGTAATTACTGTACCATTTCAGATCTAAAATCAGTTTCCTGTTACCTCGGTCACTTCCGGTCAGCTAGGACACCCTTCTGTCAAACGCACTGATTTGATGTCATCTCGTGGCAGGTGTTCGATTGATAATATATTTCTATAATTCCATTGCAAACTATGGATTGGGGATTTTATCTCTGTCTGAGATTCGTGATATATATTTCAACAATACACTTCAGCGATGTTTTTTTTTGTAAATCTCTACGAAGACAGACATACTATATGTGTTATTTCAATACTGGTATACTTCGGTAGTTTCTGTTTATATCACGGTAGATACTTCAAAACAAATTAATCATAATCTCCTGTATCACAAATACATAACATGCCACTCGGGAACAAGGAAACTTGCAAATATTCCTGTCGAATCAGCACGTGCATTACACGTGCTATGTGTTTGTTTAGTCTCGTGCGTTTATCTTGTTTGTAGATATATACAAGATAAACAGCGTAAAGCCCTGGGTAATCAACCCCCAGTGGAGCAGAACGACTAGCGATGCATGACAGTGAGAAGTGATACAACATACATCACCTGCTTGAGTCGTGTGGCTTAAATTATATTACCGTCATGTAGTATATATTTCTCTTAATCAACCTACTCGTGTTATTAAACGTTAACTGTGTTACTTGCCGATACACGACTTCGGATGAATTTCTATTCCGAATTCCGTATTTTCATAAATACTACTGTCGTGGTAATGACCTTACACAAGTACCCAAGATATATATCGGGCTGAAATATGCAAAACGTGCTAATGTTGTTGCTGAAATGTCTTAACACGGTAATGTCCGTTTTATAAACATGGTCTAGTCCATGCAGTTTATTTCGTAAAATCATATGTGTTGAAATTAAACCAACCCCAAACAGATAATATATTAATCTACAACATTTGATATAGGCCCTATCTTTCTAGTATAAGCCACTCGTAGCTATTTCTAAATGTATCGGACAGCCATACACTCGTCTTATTACTGTTATAATCTTAAAGCGACTTTTTTGTTTAATTTACATAGCAATACTTCCTTTTATCTTTGAAATCAATAATCAATTTTCTTTTTTCCATTTTTTGTTTTGTTCAGGCTTTGCGTACTCGAGACAGCTAAAGTAACATGAAGACGGCGTGGCGTCCACAGATGGCCGCTTTAAAGTGTTATTTGCAATATTCAAATTTGTCTCAAGATACAAGATACAAGAAACTTTATTTAATGTCGCATACAGGTAAACAAGGAACATAAGCTCTTGAGAGCTATTATTGCGACAAACATATGTAAAAATAACAATAACATATTATATTACAAGTAAAGGGAGATAATCACATATATTAAAAATCAAACAGTAATAATCATCACAGAAAAAGAAAGTATACATATCCCATTCATTCATTCATTCTTTAATTACTCTTTAAAGATATAAAAATAATTGCAAAAAAAGAGAGAAAAAATAGATATTTAGCAAAGTCTCTGGTTTTGGTTAAAGATTCAAATTCGAATTCTTTATCTTATTTCAAATTTTTATTCCTATATTTAATATCGTTATCTTAATTCAAATTAATATCCTTCTCTCTTTATTAACAACTACATATTGCCTAATCTTTTAACAGAATTCCATAAACACTTAAATATACACACGTATGAACTGTTTATCCAAGCGGGGTCATTCCCCGATGGGCATGTATGACAACTCACCCAGTAAAACGTAAACAACTCTCTGTATGTCTGTTGAGCAGGTATTGCGGCAGTGGTTTTACTGATAAGTATGGAATCACAGCCGGAATACACATATTGAATTTGACATGCATAACCTTAAGACGTAGAAACCTTGGCACGACTTCAGAGCAGTTTTATCCGGCGAGGATTACAACTGGGGTGATATATAGCGAGATAGGGATTACTGGGGACTTTACAGGGCTAAAACACCAAACGCTAGGCCAGTACTACTTTAAAACAGAAAAGACCACATAAAATTATGGTAAATGAGTTTTAAATAGACTTCTATAGTTCATCCAGGATAGGCAATCTTTGTACTGATCCAACAAAAAACTACGACAATATTATCGTATTATCATGAACAGGGCAGTGATCAGTGTCAGTCACAGTTTGTATGTTTAGGGCCTCAGACAGATCTATGGTCGTACACTTGCACGGTATACCTGAACACAGCCCGTGATCTGTGTCAGCCACATTTCGTATGTTTAGGACCTCAGACAGATCTATGGTCGTACACTTGTACGGTATACCTGAACACAGCCCGTGATCTGTGCTAACTTAAGTGAACAATACTTGTAACGGTCGTACACTTGTACGGTATACCTGAACACAGCCCGTGATCTGTGCTAACTTAAGTGAACAATACTTGTAACGGTCGTACACTTGTACGGTATACCTGAACACAGCCCGTGATCTGTGTCAGTCACAGTTTGTATGTTTAGGGCCTCAGACAGATCTATGGTCGTACACTTGTACGGTATACCTGAACACAGCCCGTGATCTGTGCTAACTTAAGTGAACAATACTTGTAACCCTGGGCTAAAAGTTAAACATCTTGAAGCGTCATTAATTTGAAATTTGGCCGACTGCCCCATATTTCTATTATTGCTAACTGACGCGTACATTAGGCGATATCTATAGGTATTATTGTACGTACAGTACAGGTATACAGTATGTATATATACGGACAAACGTACTTACTGCATAACAGTGCATGTATATACACAACATAGGATTTAATTACTCGGTTCCCTACTTCCCTTTCAATTTACATTGCTAATTAATCACGTTCACATTTATAATAAATATGCATCGATATATGTTATGTTGTATTACAAATGTTAGAGCGCAAACAACATACCTTTCATCTCAAACATACCTTTATTGCAAACAATTCAAGTTAATATGTTGTGAGGTACATCCCGTTTTTATTTTTGGCAGGTTATTATCGTAGAAATTTAAAAACCATGCAGCATGAAAATAACTTGCTATTTGATGCAATTAGATTACTTACCTTGTGAAAAAAGTTCGAAGGAAACGTCCAAACACACTTATAAAACACGACAGTCAAGAATTCAATCTACAAACATCCCGTGCGCATGGTAAAAGGTGAGATCACACAACTTATATAATGTTTCCAAACTACAATTCAGCACTTTAAACTGTTCGTAAACATAGGTATGTATATAATAATCGAAGGTTAGCTAGCCAGCTGGCTAACAAATTAAGTTTATAAAACCGCATGGGTGTGTATGTACTGTAGGTATGCGCGGGTACCCGGCACAGCGAATTGCCAATGACTCAGTCCAGCAGACAGTAGTCTATAGATTTTCTGGCCGTCCTCTTTTCAATACACACTAAACAGACAGAAGAGCGAAACACGGAATGTCTTACAACCCACTCAAGTGGGAGGGTTACTATAGGCGGACAGGGAATGTATATTTAGACACTTCCTCACACACGTGTAAGCGAGGACTTTGGTCCATATAGATTAAATGGAGCAGCATACCTCGGCAGCCCCAAACTTTCACTGACGCTGGTTCTCTTGATTGAGTTCAAAGCCCATACTAGCATGATGAAAAATTACAGGTGACCCTTGAAACTACGTCGACAAATTATTCATACAATGTCATCGCTGAAAGAGCAAGAGTCTGTGTTAATACACAGAGGAGGGAGAGCTTTTAAACTGGACGAGTCAAGCAGAACGACCCCGACAAAGCTTCACACGAGTGAAGGAAAGGATTGCGGAGACAAAATTGATGACCTTACCCTGTAACGCTGTCCTGGGTTGCAATGCTCACGGCTGTAAACAGCGTCACAGGGGAACTCATACTTTATTCGCTTCATTTAGCAGGTGTCGTGTATGGGTGTTAATGGACCCATAAAACCTTTGATGAAACATCTTTTACGGTATTGAGTGTTACTACTCCGTTCAATACAGGAAGATATTGATAATTGTCACCTGGGACGTGTATCACTTGTAACACATGTAATGAAACGTTTCCTGATGACAATATAAACCCGACAATTCGGCGAATTATAGTTCCCCACCGAATGTGAAATGCACAGATGATAAATTTGTGCAGGAACTAATTCTATATATGAATGTTTGACAGACTCACCGTATTCAATAATGAATAGTGTCAGTGCTACTATTGCAAATAAATCTGTTGGATGTTTACTGGTTAGTGGTACCGTTTTACTATTAAAATGCATCTGGTGACACTATGTATTTTACAGCGTTTCATTATTTGATTGCATTTGGTGGTATAAATGCGAACATCACTAATTTGAGTAAGCGATATCAGGATTCAGAAGTTCACACGAATAAGTGTTATCACGGATTCAAAGAGGCAATGTCACTTATTTGAATCAATGGTATCACCCATTCCTAGGTGCAAATTCAACAGTCCTGATTTGAATTAGTGATATAACTTATTTAAATGGGTTATTTCACCGATTAAAAGTTAGAATTGGTCATATTATCTCTGATTGAGTGATACCAGAATCTGGCATGTAAATTGTATTCAGAAGTAAATATAGCACCTTAAATGTGCATAAAATGTATAAGAATCATACAGTATGGAAAATCCAGTCAAGTAAGCAAAAACCCAAAGTAACTAACAGACAACACGCAGGGAAAAGATACATCTCACAACACATAGAACACAGAATCTGGTTGGTTCCATTGTGTGCACGGGCTCCACCACAGTAGTTCTGAAGTCTGTCTTTAACAGCTGATAGTATAGCAGTCCAAAGTTTTGAAAGTGACTTATGTATTCTTCTTCCATCTTGTTTGCAAGTATGCTTCTTCCTCAATGCAAGTGAACCCATGCCCAAAGCAAGAAGTTCCAGTAACTAGTAGTGTAGGAGATAGAGCCCGGACAAACTTTTTCTTTGATGCAGGTCAAAGGTCCAAAAACAGAGTTACCTACTTTTAATACACGACACACCGCCTCACCAAGGTGAACCCATACCCCAAGTATGAAGTTCTAGTGACAAGTAGTGAAGGAGATAGAGCCCGGACAAGATAGCGGAATAATATATTTGATTGTCTGGCACATGTAAACAATTAACGATAATTACACGATTTGTATCGCTAAATGATATTGACAAGAAGAAACGAATGATAGGATCGCAAAAACTCGAACCAACGATCCCTTATCGCTTAGGGCGTGTCATGTGATCTTTAGCCAAAAACCATGCAGTCTACAAGATTCACATTCAAACAAACATGAACATACATTCCTTGATGTCTGAGTACGTTATATTGCGAACGACATTCACAAGTATGAGGTGTTTAAAGTGTAATATACAGGCCAACTGTACTGGTGAACCAGGGTGGTTATTCTCTGTGTCAGCAGTAGTAACAAGCACTGTACACTGTGACAGTATCGTACTAGATCTGATGGCACACCTAGTCACCATCAGATACGAGTTAAAGGCGTACCTATATGGTTACGATACTCGATACCTGAAAAAACTTAGATGTGATAATAATCTGGATATGATCAGAACACCTCAACACAATGTGTTGCGTTCACCAATATGATTGAACAGCAGACGTTAGAATAAGTAGTTAAGCTTACATTGTACATCGTTTCAATAGCAGTTCAACAAATTTACAGCCGAAATAAATCAATTTACAATTATTATTATTATTTCATATGCGATTTCACGATGAAGTATTGTATAATAATATTCTTCAATAATGTCCCAATGATGCTTTATATAATTCTATTCTGCCATGCATTATGACGATAATAGAGAGTTCGATTTGAACATTTGATCACGTGTGAACTGTCATCAATGATTCATTATTGGAATCAACGTATTCAATGTTGGTTATAAAAAAATCGATAGTCCTCGATATATTAGTAAAGTGGCCTCAGTTTCATGAACGTGCCGTCAGGGTTTTTTTCCATAGAAAAACATCGCGAGAGAAGAAACTTGTTATTTTCCTCACTCTCATTAATGCTTCCTATAGAAAAGTTTACATAGGAACGTTTAAGAAAGTAGTGCCTGGTTGGACCTTTATCGTAGATGAGTTTATTGAGATTCGACCATTTGCCTACTTATTTGCTCCAGTTAAGAGCATTTAAGTCGAAAATTTCGAAATAACACTGTTTGATGATACCAGCCGGCCATACCCTTGGCAGTGGCGAAAAGCATTGTTACAATGTAACCATCAGACGTGTGTTGACAGTTGGTCAGTCTTTACACTGTATTGTTCACAAATCTCCCCAGTGGTTCAAGGTTAACCTTAATCCCAACCCGAACAAAATAAAGTAGATAAATACAATGTGTGTATCGTGTCGATTTATGCGTAGAAATTAACAGACTCGTTCATCATGCAGGCTGAGGATGTCTGCTCAATTAACCTGTGTCGCAAAGAGCGATTTATCAATAACAATGAAAGTGTAATTACATGAACACCTCACAGCATTCACGTGTCCATAGACGTTTAATCGTTTTGCCTGATTTTGTCTTGTTTTACTAGTCTTTGGCTCCGGTAATCAGCGATGTCCTCTGCTGCACAGACGTTTTGCGTTACATTATATTACGGAAACAATACAGTTCATGTTGGTATGTCTGTCGTGACATCGTTAAAGCAAACCGCTACAATAGTGATATCGCTGTGCATCCGAATGGAATCGAACCTGTATGTTTGCAAACTCAGTGCGATAGGCCAACATAATATTTGTTATAGTAGTTTGGCTTACACAATAAAATACTTTAGAAAATAAATTGGAACGTGTTTATATAAATATGAATCTGACATGAAGTCACTACTAGTACATTGTATTATCTATAAAACGTTGACTAACTGTTTTCAGTTACATATTAGTCCAGTGTTCAACCTACTTATACCACACTGCAAGTCATTCCCTATCACGTTCTGAAACGCAGCGAGTCATTCTATGAAAATAATTATTTATTTTCAAAATTTCAATTAGTCAAGTTGAAATAAAAATAAATCTTCCGACAGGCAGATAAATAATACAGCGATTAGTAAGTCTTATTTAACACAAGTTTGTCCCACAAAAGAAAAATGAATGTTATATAAGTCATTAAATTTTTTATCATTAATCAATATCATATATGTAATCAAACAGTGACCTCAGAGCAGTTCAGAATCACAATGAAGGTTTACTTCGACAACTTCAGAACTTTAACTTTCCGAAGATATACTTCAGCTGGACAAAGAACAGATTTTGGGAGAGTGAACAGGTACATACTATCTGTTTTATTCCTTGCAGCTGTTGTATGTGCAAAAGATCATCAGGGGCCCTTATGTGGCGGCAAACCTAAGTCATCCATCCACATGAGCCTTTATGAATGTTATGACAGTGAAAACAGTTGGTGAAGAACCAGAGGGACCTTGAACAGAAGTGAAACTCAAATCAGCCAATTAACGGAATCCCATCTTGAAGCCAGACAAGATGAAAGAGGACGTTTCAAATCAGTGGAAAAACATGCCTACTTTAACAGTGAAACCAGTTACGTGCCGTAGGGATGTAGATATGCAAAAGGCTGATGAAAGCAGCGAGCAGGAAGGCTGAACTGGAATACCACAGGAAATGAGGAAAGAAGGAAGAGCAACCGCAACATTGTTAGACACTCATGGTGACACAACAATGAGCATCACTACCTAAGTTTGATGTCGCAGCATGGCAGGAGGCTGCATAACTGATCAGCAGCAATGCGAGCCAATCAGTTCCTGGCTGAGCATGATCGACACAGTCGACGCTCTTGCGGAAATAGTCTTGGAAAAGAGCAAAGACCTCTTACGAAGGAGAGCCATCTACCAGATGATGGGACTGGCCGGCATTGAAACACTCAGATGTGTTCAAGCTAGACATCGTTAACATGGAACATAAGATGGCACAATTAGTGGGGTTAAAAGAGGAACCAAGGCTTGGAATTGATATGCTTGACATAAAATACCGGAAAATGTTAAAATAATTTTAATTTTCCTGTCTGAATTTATTTTCGTTTCCGACAAAATAGTCTCTAAAGTTAATGGCATATAATTTTAAAGAAGTTTCTAAATACAGGATAGAACTGTTTTGTAAGTCTATTTCATACAAAGAAAACACCATTGCTATTTCTCTTTTTCAGAATACATCTGTAATTGCCCACCAAGAGGTACTCGGATGTAAGATTTTACAATTATAGGTGACAGGGTACAGCATTTGAGGTATGTCCCGTACAAAGTCACGCACAGTCTGACGGACGAAGTGCAAATATTTAGTCCCCTCCTGTAGTACCGGTGTGAGACTAATTTAACCTTAATCTAATGCTTTGGTATCAGGGAATAGTACATTGACACACCTAAACAGTACATAGCTGAGGCTGTATAATGCACATGGGTCATCGGAAAGATTTGACTTTGCAATATACTGAAGAGGAATATGGTGGCATATTTCTGCCATCGACTTTCGACTTGCGAGTTACTTATGTCGACATTATTTTAAAAAAATGATGTCGGCATAATCTGAGAAGATGTCGACATAATCTATGAATATGTCGTAATAACGTTTAAATTATGTCGACGTAATTTTACATTTTCCGAGATAATTTTGCCGAGTTAATCATTACGATAGTAGGAAACTCGGCTTTATAATATGCTCAGATGTGACATCGACTTGTCGCTTATTTATGCAAAAGAAAACGAGCAGTTAAC